GGTCACATATAGATTGATGAGAGCAGCAGCCGTGCACCTGCCAGCCTCCCCCGTCTGCGTCTGCGTCTGCGTCTGCGGCCTGCTCTGCCTCACTGCTCTCAGTATACTGCGGCTGGCTGTATTGTGCTGTCGGGCGTCGTCATGGCCGTCACCACGGTGCTATTGTCATGGCGATATTACAGTATCAATACCCTGACACTGCGACAAAGAGACAGCAGCCAATGCCACATCACTCCACCCCTTTAACCCCTCTCCTCTCCTCTCATTCTCCCTCCATCCTCACCAATCGATCCCTCCATCTCTGACTAAACATGCACGTATTGATTCCCCGTCGTCCCCTGCTCTCCTCTTCCTCTAACATCTATCAGATTTCATCTCCCCCTTAGACCACCCTTACGTCACTCTCTTTTCCTCCTCTTCATCTGTCATTTCATCTCCCTTTTTCACTCCTTCCTGTTCTCCATGCCATCTCTCCCCCCCCCCACCTCTGCATGTTTTTTTTTCTTTCTTTTTTTGTCTCAGTCTCACTCTCTGCATATTAATTGGTGCATTTGTGCTGCGGCGTACAAGACAATCAAAGCGTTGGGGGCGGGTGATGATATGACTGTATCAGACACTACACACAGTACACAAACACACACTCGCGCGAGGTTTTCGTGAGTTAATATTGAGATTCCTCTCCAAAATCATCCTCAAACTCCCAGAAACATGGCCTCTGAACCAGACAAAAACACCTGTACATGCAGAGCATCCATCAGCAGAAATCACACTCAATCTGACATCTGAAGGTTTTCAATCTGTGGATACTCTATACAGAGTACAGGGAGATTATTAGTATTATTATTATTATTATTATTATTAATAATCCCTGTTTTACAAAATAATATTAAAATGCATTAGTAGTTTATTTATTTGGAAAAACATTCTGAATCTGATATACAAAGGTTTTCTGTTAAAGGCCTAAATCAAAAAGTATTATTATTATTATTATTATTATTAATTATTGATGCAGTGAAATGCTCCAAATGCATTAGGAGTTCAACCTGTACTATTTAATTAATTTTGCAAAGGACAAAAGGTGCCGAATCTGGTTTTCTATCTGCAAATAGGCCTAAAAAAACAAATAAATAAATACAAATTAAATTAAAAATAACAGTAGCTGGTTATGTATTATTTGTTTGTTTATTCATAGATCTCAGGTCAAACAGCAGACTATATATATATATATATATATTGTGTGTGGGGGGTATATTTAGATAATAATAATAATAATAATAATAATAATAATAATAATAATAATAATAATAATAATAATAATAATAATAATAATAATAATAATAATAATAATAATAATAATAATAATAATAATAATAATAATAATAATAATAATAATAATAATAATAATAATAATAATAATAATAATAATAATAATAATAATAATAATAATAATAATAATAATAATAATAATAATAATAATAATAATAATAATAATAATAATAATAATAATAATAATAATAATAATAATAATAATAATAATAATAAT